GACTTCAATGCAACCTCTACGACCAACCTCAAGCGGAAGTAGTTCGGAGCTTTCCCCTGTCTTTTGACTCGTATTTTGTTTGTACACAATTAGCAGCGAGGTAAACGCTCTTTCTCAATCAGGAGAAAAGCCCGGTCGCAAAGGCTGGAAACGCTATAGTAAGTGGGTCTCTGACATTTCTTTGAGATAAACCTCTCGCTTCGTAATAAACAAAAAGAACAGTAACGTTTATACGGGTAAAATCAAAAGAACGAGACAAAGCACTACAAATCAAACAATCTACTCAACCATTAAGACTATGACTTATGTGAAAAACAACAAAATATCAAAAACAGGGTTTTATGCCAATAAACACGGTAAAATGAAGAAAACAGGAGGACATATACCATATTTACTGACTCTGAACAATCTATCTGAAAATTTTATCGCCTAAATCAAAGTTTACACCTTTGTGTGTAGAAAAGGTTGCCTCGTCTTTGTCTCTTCACAATCAATAAAGTAAGTGTCCAGTTTCAATGAATCATACACCATCCTAATCCAGAGTGCAACTTACCGTACTTTAACTATCAATCTAGTTGGAAAACAGGCTCATTGTGAGTCATGGAAGCCGAGTAATCATAATAGGAAGCGAGGACAGCCCCGTTCCTTCGATATGTATTTGCGCTTGTTCTCAAGTTGTAACTTCTCCTAATACTAATTTAAAAATATTTGGTGATTTTCGATCCACATTATTAAACATCTTGTCCTTGCAGGTTTTCCATATATACAAAAGATGCATAGAAAAAAAATTGCATGTCTCTTCTCTTAGACCTTCCTCCGATACTCTCCAAAACAAAACAAAAAATCACATTAAAACCGAGGTTGAAAAATCCTCCAAACTCGATGGGACACGTTTCTAATGCTAGAGACATTTATAAAATACATGACTGATAAATTATTCCTCTAAACCACATCTTGAACAATTAGTGACGCATTTAATACTCCGATTCCGTAGACGATGATTAACTGCTAAAAAGCCCGACGTGATCTGCTACATAAAATATTTTAATATGGATGGTCCTATATCTTCCATGCTTGTACTTGTAGTGGAATAATATTTGGTCCCAATTTCGTCGATTCATTTGGCTTTCTGAATCTATTGTGAGCTACCAATATCTCGATTTAACGATATTTTTTTTGATTTTTTCATGTTCCCTAATCTACCCAATACCTTGTATGTCTGTG